TTGGCCAACATGGTGAGACCCTGTCTCTACTAAAAATACAAAACATTAGCCGGGCATGGTGGCGTGTGCCTGTAATCGCAGCTACTTGGGAGGCTGAGGCAAGAGAATCACTTGAATCAGGGAGGTGGAGGTTGCAGTGAACTGAGATCATGCCACTGTACTCCAGCCTGGGCCACAGAGTGAGGCTCCATCTCAAAAAAAAAAAAAAAGAAAGGAAAGAAAATATGAGAAAACAAACCATGCAATAAAGCAGAAGTCACTAGTTCTATATGTATCTTAGGCTACTTCCCCCCCACCAGGTTTTTAAAAAGCAAAATCATAATCCTATAGTATATATATATATATATATTTTTTTTTTTAGACGGAGTCTCACTCTGTCGCCCAGGCTGGAGTGCAGTGGCGCGATCTCGGCTCACTGCAAGCTCCACCTCCTGAGTTCAAACAATTCTCTGCCTCGGCCTCCTGAGTAGCTGGGATTACAGGCATGTGCCACCACGTCCAGCTAATTTTTTTTTAGTTTTAGTAGAGATGGGGTTTCACCATCTTGGCCAGGCTGATCTTGAACTCCTGACCTCGTGATCCACCTGCCTCGGCCTCCCAAAGTGGTGGGATTACAGGCGTGAACTACCTTGCCCGGCCATAATCCTATAGCATTTTTAAAAATCCCCAACAGCACATGATATTTCTTTGATTGATTTTTAAAAGTGTTTTCTTGGTAGAATATTTAAAACATATAGAAAGGTCCAAAGGAAAATATTTCCTAGAATTTCACCCTACATTTCAATGTACTTCCTTAGGACATTTTTTTCTAGGCACATCTAAAGAGCATACTTTTGGCATGATTCTTGGGAACACCTGGCACAAGAATAGTCACAGCTTCTACATGGAAGAGCACGTAAAGGGGGAGTTTAGCGGTAGGTAACAGCTGCCGTGGGGTGCCTTAGTAGTCTTTATTGATTAAAAGAAAACAATCCTAAAGGGTTTAGGTCATTCCTCTAACATTACTCAAGTTTTTGGCAACAAAAATGCCCTAATGCCAAAAATACCACATTATTTTATTTACATATTTCTTGGAAGAAAAAATGCTTTTGTAATTTAATAGTTCTCTTAGTGTTTCAATTGTGTAATCAGCTTAGCTGGAACAGGATGCTGTCATTTATTAGACTGAGAGGCAGCTTCGTTTCCTGGTTAAAAGTAGGATGCCCCTGGCTGGATAGGCTCTGCAAATTACTATCTGTAACTTATTAGCTGGTGATAGTATGAATTCTTATCTTCTCCATCTTCATAATTATCTTAGCAAGAAGCTGGGTGAATCAATGCTAGCAGCCACTACTAGCTAAATGCCTGACAGCTTTCTCCCCTTTTAGAATCCTCTCAGCCTTCCCCAACCTGCACCCACCCTCCCAGGAATAAAATTAATTTCTCCATTTTTTGTGCTCTCATAGAATAGGTACTTGTCTCTCATAGTATTTATTGAAATGTGTACTGTATTTTTTAAATGTCCATCATCTGTCTCTTCCCTCTTGCCAATACTGTAAGCCTGTGAGCTTATTACTTATGGGGACTTTACAAAAAAAAAAAAGCTTTGTGTCTTCAGAGCCCAGCCTGGACCTAGTGAATGCTTAATACAAATGCCTGTCAGATGCATAAATACTGTACTCTGGAACTGATTTTCAAACTAAAATGCATAGCTTCCTATTTATTTCTACTGCATTTTACCTTTTGGGCCTCAACATCCCAGGGGTATTTATTTTTACTTGGTTGGAAGATACAACCAAAAAAAAAAAAAATCAAAACAAAACATAACAAAACTGTGCCTCAGCAGAATGCAGTGATATAACTTACTTGTATGAATATTCCATGTGCATTTAGTCATTTAGACAAAAATTACTTGCGAGCGAAGGAGGTGCAGTGGAATTTACAGAAGCAATAATGACCAAATAACAAGGAAGATGTTACTTATTATTATAACGTATTCATGTTTTACAAAAGAGCAAACTGAGGCTCAGAAAGGCCACATGATGAAGGGCAACACAGATTTAATGGCAGAAATAAGACTACAACATGCTATTCAGGGGAAATGATAGCTGTCCTTGAAACACAGTGGTTAAGTATGGGGTGTTACACAAGGCAGCCCTGATGGAGGAGATGTCTCTATCTGAGTCTTGTAGGGAACAGACTAGAAAACAGAGAGATTCCAGGGTAGAGAGCTGTAGTCACTGAGGACATCATGATGCAAGCTCCAACACAGAGTAAGACCCTCCAGAGTGACCAGATGTGCGGCAGAGTAGCACATAGTCACTTTTTGTGTGTAACTTGTAATTCCTTTTCCTCCAAAAGGCGTCAACTGGCTCTTGTGTTGGAGCAGCCTACCGTTTTACGCACTTTCCCTGCAAAATCTGTCACCTTCCTCGAATACCTCCAAATTCAGAGGGACCAGAATACGGTTGAAGGAATAATAGATGTGATAAAGAAAAGAAAGATGTTCGAAAAGAAATTGGGTTGTCTATGCATACTATGGTCTGAGTTTTAATAATTCATAATCCCATTAAAATACTAATTCATAATCCACTTAACATGTGCAGAAACATGAAACATTACTTAAACTATTTTTAAAAGATCTGGGAAAATATTATACATTATTTTAAGTTATTTACTTTGAAGGTATTTAGCATACTAGTTATGACAGAAACTTTTGACTTTTTCCATAAGAGAGAGTATGAGAAGATAAAGGTTTTATTAAGAGTGCCACAATACTTACTGTTAGAACAATTTCAAAGTTAGCAGAACAAAAGGAATTTGGAGAAACTGAAGATTGTAAATGAAAAACTTCCAAGGCTCGTGTTCGAGAATTGTGCATACTGTGTGTTTTTGGCATGCTTTAAATTCATGAGTCTGCTATAAAAATTCTGCAAACTTTTTCATAAGGCTTTTGCATCCCTAATCAGTTTCTAAGTGTTATCAGTTAATAAAATGTATTTCATAACAAACATTTGGTAAATATTTAGCGTACTTATTGAATTGCACTTACCTCAGGTTTTTTATTCTTTTTCTTCCATTTCTAAAAAAGCATGCTGTAGATTTCAGGAGAAGTTGGCAGCCACACAGATGTTGAAGTGTGAATTTTGGATGTTTGCAGGTTGTAAATATGTGGAATTTTGATCGTGAATGGGAATTTAACATTACAACCTTACATGGTTGGAAAGATTCTGCAATAGCAACAATTTCACATTTGCATAAACAGCTTTATTATAGTTGGAGTAATATATAGAAAGAACACAAATTACTCTGACCAGAGTTAAACCTATAAAGCAATCACATTTGAATGAGGATTTTACTTAAAATCATAGACTCATCAACTTTAAAGTGTTTTTATCTTTCACAAGAGACAAATTTAGCCTGTTATGAATAAAATCCCTTAATATCTGCATTTTCTGGCTGGCATATGTATATTGCCTCAGTGGAACTTTAAAATAAAACCATACATAGGAAAAAATTAAAAAGAGGCAAATAACGAAAGCACTAGACCAAAAAAATGTATTTTTTACATCAACTAGTAAAATAATTGTCAAAAGTGTTTGCTTTAATTGAATTTTAAACCTAGAATCTTTTTCAGCTCTTGATTTCACTGTAAGAGTACAGAGAGTACAGAAACAGCTAGAACCTTTTGAAATTTACCCTTCTCTTACCTTTTGTTAATGTTATACCATCTCTGTCACTTTGCTTGGTGGAGGTATAGTTTTGATTGTGTAATTTTACAGGTATTTTATTAAAGTATTCAGGAAGTTAGGTAGCTACATTCCAAATGCAACAAATTACAACGTGTTCTTGATTAATCAGAATGCTTTATGACACATCTTTTCAAGCCTCAGGTTGAAACAATTTGTATATCCCCATCAAAGGTGTGATAGTCATTTGAAGAATTGTGCAAGTTAGTTCAGCATTTCAGATAAATGTTGGATTAATTATTTGGCTCCTAGGAAACTTCACTCAGGCATGTCTTAGTTGCATACTGTTTGAAAATAAAAAGCAATTGAACTGAGAAATACAAATATAGTATTGCATGATATTGCTATTTTTATTGTAACTCTAAGTCAGTTTCAGATAGCAAAACTCCGAACTTCAATTGAGGAAGCCTTTATAGTTTTTAACCGGTTATTAACTCCATCTCTTAAAAATATTAATTTGTAAATTTGAAGGGAATGAAACAAAATTATCTAATCACTTGAAAGTTGGTAAGACCGTCTAGAAGAAAAGCACTCATATACAGAATGTTATTTCTCTAGTCTCATTCACACTGATGCTTGTCAAACCTTTTCTCATTTCTATATATTTTACCCACTCTTAAAACACTGAATGGAGTTTTGCTGCCTTAAATTCAGAAGTGGAGTGTTAATTCAGGAGAGAGAGCAGCAAAAATGTGAAGGTCTTTGTATTTCTCTCCTGACTAATCAATGGCTTGTACAGACATGAGGGAAATAAATGCATGTTCCCAGTTAGAGTTCTTTAAAAGGAAGGATGAGGAAAGACGAAGGGAATATTACTAATGCTTCTCCAAACATTAGCAGGAGATTGGAGTATATCTCAGCTGATTTTAGTCTTTACTTTAAATTTGAAAACTGAAAGAAAGCTAGAATTTAATAATAATAGGTAGCATTTATGGAAAGGTGTCTGCGGGTTCTCACATCTTTACACCTATAATCTCATCACATTTTTATGCACAACCCTATGAGGGAGGAACAGATATTACCCCATTTTACAGGTTGATTAACCTGGGAAGAGATAAATTATGGAAGTTGTCAATGGTTATTCTGCAAGCATTTTGATCCCAGGCAGTCTGCCTCTAGAGTACACACTCCATTGAAATCTATGTGACTGCATCTTGTTTCCAGCCCCAAGCAAAGGGCATGACAAGTAATTCTGAACATCATTCATATCTTATAGATGATCTGAAAATAAAGATAAGGAAAAATAACTTAAAATCACATGGGATTCCAGGATCCAATGACAATGATGGTGTAGTTTTTGGAATGTGTATTTCAGGGTTTTCAATACTTAATGGACATACCTGCACATTTGCGTACATTTGCCGACCTCTCAGCTTTTCTCAGGAGAACAATACTCGTTGACTGATCAGTCAATAAATCCCTGTTGCTTCTCACCATGGAGTGTTCCACATAGAGTAGCCCAGATAAGAAGCAGCTCAACAGCAAACCAAAGTTTTCAACAGCAAACCAAAGTTTTCAAAGTTTCAAATGTCTGTCTTTGTGTGTGTGTGTGTGTGTGTGTGTGTGTACGTATTTTGCCCAAATTGTTGCTAATCTTCTTCTTTGTCCACACTATTGTGACATGGGAGACATTTCTTTCTCCACAACCTGTTATAGGGCAGTCTCATGACTCCATTTTATTAATGGTTGCTTTAGAGGTTGACGGCTCAGATCCTGGAGGTATTCTCAAGGGCTTTCCAAGTAAATTTTTGGGTGTCAAGTAACACACATTTAACCCAGATGATCTTAAATATACTTTCCAAAATTGGTTCTGGCCCCTGCTGGCCCCCTGCCTCTTTCTCTTTCTATGGCATTTCTTAGGACTTTTCACCATTGATTTCCAGTTAGCGGTCTTCCAGCTGCATTGTGGGATTGCATTTTCTGGCCTCACATGTGTGGTCATGTGACAGATTCAAGCCAATGAGGTACAGCATTCAATTGCTAGTGCAAGACCCTCTAGGGCACTGTGGCTCCCACAGATTTGAGTCAGGTGTGTAATTTTAAAGTTTCTGGTAACAAATTAAAAATGTACAAGAAACAGGTGAAATTAATTTTAACAATATATCTTCTTTAACATATTGAAAATATAATTTCAACATGAAATCAATATAAAATTATTGAGGTATTTTATATCCTTTTATAATTACTGTTTTAATTCGGACAAAGTCTTTGCAATCAGGTATATATTTAGCACTTATACCCATCTCAATTCACCCAAGCCCCATTTCAAGTACTCAATAGCAACATGCGCCAAGTGGCTACTAGGCTGGGGAGGCCAGTTCGGGTGCGCTGTTTGACTCTGCTGCAGTGCGGCCATGTTTGAGGTGGTGACTGTTGTATTCTTGGATCACACAGTGAGGGGATGCGGAGCAGGGCTCCCTGCTGCCAAGAGGACCTGGAGTATGATGAGCACTAAACCTTGGTTGCTATAAGTCTCTAACATTTTTGTGTTTTTGTTATATTACAGCATACGCTACCCTATCCTGCCTGATATTTCTTTCTTTCTTCAAAATGGGACCATGCACTGTCTGTTGTTTCTCACTTGTTTTTGCATCTAACACGTTTTAAATATCCTTCTATTTGTCATGCATTCCTCTCCATCACAGCATCTTTTCTATCAGCTTTATAACATTGCATGGTATACACATATCCTACTGTATTTAGCCAACTACTCCAGTGTTACACACTTAGAATTGTTCCCGTTTACTTAATTTAATGATACTATAATATTTATCCCTATAGTTAAATCTTAGGGTACAGTAATAATAGTGATGATGATTTTTTTTTTTAACCACAGATTCCAAGAAATAAAGTGGTCCGGATAAAGGCACAGCACTTTTTATAGTGAATGATAGTTACTTCTGGTTGTTTCTTCAGAAAGTATCAATGTATTCATCTACTACCTGATGTATAGCACAGAATATTAATGTTAGTTTATTATTTAGATTAAATACTGTTTCATATGTGAGTTAGACATTGTATTTATTATTTTTTCTAATTGCTTGTTCATTCCAACTGTGTTTTCCTACTGACTTGTTTGTCTTATTGATTTGTAAAAATTCTGTCTGTGTGTAGACTATGAAACTTTTGCTATCGTCAGTATTATATGCTCTTCATTTGTCATTTTTTCATCTTTGAGATTTAATTAAAAAGAATATATGACTGCATATGACTTTGAGCGTGCTTTTAGATATAACTTGTTTTTAAACCTGAAAATTTTGATTCTTCAGAAGTAAATGTGAATGCAAAAGCATAGGTTATTGCATGTCAAATATTCAATTTTAATAAAAAATACAGTACAAATAAAGACTGCTCCACTTAAGTCCAAACAAAAGTAAAGCATTACTGAACATTTTTAGTTAATCATTACATGTTCTTTCATTCTCTTAAAAAGCTACCTGTGAAATCTTCCTGCATTACAGAACAAGATATGCACTATGAATCCTAAACAAGACATCCTATTTTTTTTTTTACATGAAATACCTTCTCTAAGTTGTGTATTTGCTTTCCACATAGAAAACATGTAATGCTCAATCAATGTTTCTAGAAGAAATTTAGACTAACTCAAACTAAGTATATGTTATGGTTTGTTACACCAACATTACTCCTGATAATAATTTAAATTAAGAAATGAGAGTTAATTCTCCTTTCCCACTTGGCCATTTTGGTCCAGTGTCTCAAGAATTCTTTCTAAAGGATTCCCTTGGTTGTAATTGGCTTGGTGGTCCTTAATTCTTGTTATCATTCTATGCTTGCAACATGTGCCTGTTGTTTCTGGAAAAATGTATTGTGAACTACAAGCTTATGCTATTTCTTAGCACTTGTATGTCATTCTTAACACACACAAGATGATTTGCATTCATTTGTAATCACTGTTCTTTGCAAAATACTGGTAAGAGGGCTATTATAATAACCACCATTTTGCCCATGGGGAAACTGAGACCCAGAAAGGTTAAGTGACTTACCCAAAGGCATACAGTGAATTGATGGCAGAGCTGGAATTGCAGGCGGGCATCCTTAGAGGTTGTCTATTGTTCAGCACACTCAGCAACAAGGTCTCTCGGCAGTGCATTCTTTCTTCCAAGCATCACATTTTCTTATTCCTTCGCTAAACAATTATTTAAGAACATGTGACCTGCTTATAATACAAGGTTAGAATAATAATATCTTTTCTTCTATTTTTTCTTTCTCTTACTTAAATGTATTATTCCAACAACTTGGAAATAGGTGGGAAACAGAGAAATCACTCAAGCTTTTTACATGGAAAACAATTGAATGACATCATTGAAGAATCCAAAAGTGTATCTTGTCTTTTCCCTTAGGGGATGGGAAACGCACTCAAGTGAAAAGGAAAACTGTGTACTTTTGTACACTCATTTATGTTTACATAATAAGAGGTGAAGAAGAAATATTAATAGTATCACAAATAAGTGCTGTGATTTCAAAGTCTTTGTAATTCTTCAGAGTGACTAAACGGTGTACAATGCAAAGTCTGTAGGGATATTAATTCCAAGTGATCCTTCAAATTTACTTTGGCACTACAATTTTTTTAACCACTCCAGGTACTATAAAACTGTTAAATGGTATAAAACTATACTAATTAAACTGTTGAAATAACAGGTTATTAGTGGAAAAGGATTTTCCAGTTTTAAGTAATCAAAGAACAGAATGAATTATCCTTTGCAATGTTTTCTTAAAGTATAGACTAGTATTGTTTTCAAGATTAAATTTTGGGGGGAGTTTGGGAATTTTGCATGTGTATATGTTTCCATATTGATTTTGTGGATGTCAAATCAATACTGTATTCAGAAAGAATAACATGCTATAACTTAGAAATTCCTATCTCCTCCTTCTCTCATGCCCCCATTTTCCATTTTAAAGAAATTTTGTGTTTGTCCTATTTAGAATACTGTTTGTGGATAATTTCCCTACATTTTAAAAGATATAGTTTTAGCTCCTATTTTATGTACATTATTTAAAAATATAATTTTAATAGGGATCTTTGGAAAGAACATGAAGGATATGAACAGAATTGTTGTTCAACTTAATTTAGGACCCTAATTTAGAACATATATTATGTTCTTTTTGCTTCCAAATGGCTTTTTAGTAATCCTCTGCTCCAAGAAGTTATCAATTCTTACCCACCCTCAGGAAGCAAGTCACGTGTATTCAAACGTAATCAGATTAACAGAGAAACTTAATCCGACTTACCTTAGAAGTAAGATTTTTTTCTCCAGCTTTCAGGAATAACACTTAAATACGTATTTATCTAATTTTGTGGTTTTGTATAGAGTATTCAGTCACATTGCTTCCTGGAGAGGCTACTCATATCTGCTTTCTCCTTACTCCACAGTGTTCTTCCTACCTCAGGAAAAATTGGAGATAAGAAGAACTCACCGTCTTTTAGGCAACCCTAGGCTTCAGATTTCAGAGAATAATAAAAAAGGAAAATCAATGAAACAAACAAAAGATCCTTCAGATTACCCCAAGTCAAGTGGCTCATGCCTTTTATATGGAAGCATAACCTTTCTCTCTCCCATCATCTCCTCTCTGCCTTTCTAGCCACCTCTTTGGATTATTTATAGTTCCCCCTTCCCTACCTACCCACCACCTCTTTTTTTGTGTGTGACTACTTCCTCTCTACCCAACAAAGGAGGAAACTTGAGAGACATTATCACTGTGGGGTGGGGGGGGCGGTTCCCCTGCCTCTGGGAGGGTGAAGGGAATCAGGTCGAACAAGCAACGTCACTGGCCTGTGTCCCCTCTGCTCACCTCTTGTCGCTGAGGCTGGGGACCAATCAACCACCTTAACTCTTGCACCTTGTGCCTTGGAGCTGTGGAAATCGAACTGTCCAGCCACAGTAGAGTAGACTAGGAAGGCAGGCTTTATAATCATTGTCTTTCTTCTCTCTTTTTTTTTTTGAGATGGAGTCTCCCTCTATCGCCCAGGCTGGAGTGCAGTGGCGCGATCTCGGCTCACTGCAACCTCTGCCTCCTGGGTTCAAGTAATTCTCCTGCCTCAGCCTCCGGAGTAGCTGGGACTATAGGTGTGCGCCACCATACCTGGCTCATTTTTCTATTTTTAGTAGAGATGGGGTTTCACCATGCTGACCAGGCTGGTCTCGAACTCCTGACCTCATGATGCACCCGCCTCGGCCTCCCAAAGTGCTGGGATTACAGGCCTGAGCCACCATCCCCGGCTCTTCTCATTTTTAACAGCATAGCTTGGGCCTCGTGCGAGTCCTTGTGTGATGTGATTTGGAAATCTTAAAGAGGATATGGAGCTCAGGGGCCCCTCAAATTCTCAGCACCCAGCAGAATGTGCTATTGCTTAGGGTAGTAGTAAATCTCCCACACTCTCATCACCTGTCCTGTGTTCAGCTCTGTCCTCTACATGATCATATTCTGACCTCCAAAATAATTAAGAAAAAGAGAAGCTCCTTCAACCTCAGCATGTGCAAACACAATTTCAGAGGTAAATAGTTACCATGTCTAGCAATCAACTCTTTGGGCTCATTTGATTGAAATTCATGAGTTTGGGGAGAATATGACAGGCTAAGGAGTTTGGCAGCCCCAAGCCTGCAATGAACATAAACTCCTGAACCACCCTATGAAAACCAGATACCTGGCTACATTTATCGATGTTATTTTGTCTAACTCTTTTTAACATACATTTTTTTCCCAGTTAAAATCTCACTGAAAGCCTCATATAAGAGTCCCTCTCTCTCCAGCCCTCCTTCTCCCTCTATTTCTCTGTCTGTTCCCTGGAGAAATTAAAAAAAAAAAAAAAAGAAAAGAAAAAAAGAGCATATTGACGCTAAATAAAAACCAGAAAGAGCAACCTTATGTCATTTATTTCTCTGAAATTGAAAAAAAAAATCATTTTTCCCCTTAGAAAACTGTTCTGGTTTAAAATAAAAACACTTCAAAAGGTACTTTGCATTATATGTATGTCTTCCATGAGAATCAACACCCACATCTAGTGATTTTCTCATCTTGTCCCCGTCTGACAAGATCTGTACTAAAATATATTAAAAAAGGAAAAAAAAAAAAAAAAAGATAAAGAAGAAAGAAAAAAGTGGGGGAAAAGCTGACTGGGAGCAGCAGAAATCTCTCCCTCAGGCCGGAGGCCTTTCCTTTCTCTCCGGGGCAAGGGTGGGGGCCTCAGCCTGGGCTTCCTGGGGCTCCAGCTCTGAGACCCCGCGACCTTCTGACTCTGGGGCCCCCTGGGTTCTCCGACTTCAGCTCTCACCTCATTCATTCAGCTCGACCTGGGAGCCGGGCTCAGCTTCCCTCCTGGAATTCACCCCGGGACCCTGCTATTGTCCCTCTCGTCTGACCTCTGCTACGCTAAGTTCCAACAAGGTGATCTGGAAAACGCGCCACTCGCTCCCTGGCGGGCTCCCGGACTCGCCTTTTCGCGCCCTCGGCGGCGGCTCTTTTCTCCAGGGGGGACCACCTAGCGCTCGGCTTTGCAAGGCCAATTTATGGCGCTGTCAGGGGCTCGGGCGCCGCGCCCATTGTGCGGGACGCCGCGCCTGACCCCGCCGCCAGCGCCGTGTAGCCCGATTGTTCCCTCATTAGGGCGGCCGGGAGCGGCGGAAAGGCTCGCGGCCCTTTCCCACAATCGCTGACAATGTGCGACCGCAGGCTTGTCACAGTCGCAGGCGAGGAGAAATGGAGAGGATGTGCCACCGAGTGGGGCGCAAGGGACATCGCATTCCCACGCAAGGAAGGGGGAGAAAGCCACCATTCAAACACCCAAATCCAAACTGCAGACCTTGCACCGCGTGGTGTAGTTTTTTTCAGGGGTTTTGGTGGCGACTGTCAAGACTCACAGGAAATACCCTAGGGGAAGACTCCACAGCGCCTTCCAAAGAACTAAATCAACGCTTAAGCCCAGGAGTTCGAGGCTCCAGTGAGCTGTGATCGCACCACTGCACCCAGGCCTGGGGCCCAGAGTGAGACCCTGTCTCAAAACAACAACGACAACAAAAAAACAAACCAAACCAACACACACACACATACACACGCACACACACACACACACACACACACCCCTAAATCAAGAGTTGCAAAGAGCCAGACAGCCGGTGAACTTGGGCAGAGGAGAGCTCTGTGCACAGGGGCAAGAAGTGCCCAGATGCAAGCGGGGCTGAACTGTGCACTCTCGGGGGCCGGGGCTGCGGCCACGTGGAGAAAGCAGGAAGGAAGCGGGCGGGGCCGTCAAGCAGGCCTAGGGAGATCAGCACTGGCACAGGCTGCCTTCACAAGCAGGAGCCATCCGCAGTGTAGCAATCTCTTTTCCAGCCTTGCTTCTAGAAGGAGCCAGCTGATCCTTTTCCCTTTCGTGTTCTTTGCCCCACTGTGCCTGTTGCTGCTGTTCTTTCCCAGTGAAAATGCCTCCCAGAGAGGTGAGGCACCCTGAACACCACACTTCCACGCTCTCACTTTTCCTCCTGGCCAACCAAGCGAGGACGCTGCCCAGACAGCCCTTCTCTCTCCCCCTCCTCCACCGGCCTGTTGCGTTGAAAGGGCCTTCTCTAAAACTGCAAATAAAGAGCACAGCTTCAGAGAAACCGGGCAAAGGCTCAAGGGGAAGGCACAAAAAGGACTATCTCTGTCCTGTCTGTCCTGGCGCTTAGATGTATACAAAAAGCTACACTCAGATTCTTAGGTCTGTGAAATGCTATTTGAGTTGAAACACAATACCCGCCTACAGGGCATGCATAGAAAGTGATTTTAGGCGGCAATAACTTAGGGTAATTCTCTCTATTTTATAAACATCATTAGCTCCTCTTATGAGTTAATACAAAAAGATTCAACGTTTCTTTGCACTTTCTCAAAAAAGTGAATTCTGGGGCTAAGGCCGTAAGCCACCACATTTATTAGCAGGTGATTCAAAATTGCACACCCAAAGGAAAACTTCGAGAAGTTTCAGGGATGCTGTGCACAGACTTTTAACTTTAAAACTCTTCCCAAAACTGTGTTTTTGAATTGAAATGTGTTTATTCCTTTAACAGAATATAAAGCTAGAATTGAAAAGAAAAGAGTTTATATTTCAAGATAAGATTTGTATAGAATATGTCGAAAGATATCAATTGTCTATATTTAAACTACGGTTGAGAAATTCTAAGTACTCCAGAATTTTAAATTATTCTTAAAACGGAACTAAAGATATTTTCATGATGGAAAAATAATGTGAATTAAGCTTCTTAAAAAAAGACCAAGTCTCATCTTTGGGGTGCATGTTGTCCTGTTATTTTGTCCGAAGCTTTCTTGACAGGGTGAAAAGGGTTTTAGGTTCTCGTGTTTAATATTATAACAAGAACTAGGGTACAATTTGTGTGAGTTTATAAAATCTATTGCAAAGATGATTTTGGTTGTGGCAGTTTTCCTTTCTTGTTTTTAGCAGATGGCTTTCTATCGACTGTTAACTTTAAAATCAAATGTGTAAAGCTTTTTATTTAAAAGAAAATAGTGATCTTAATTTGAGGTACATTGTGTGTAGTCTTAAAGTTTGTGATGGCCGGTTTATGGTGGTGGGGAGTGTTTCTTTGTAACTTTGAGTTTTCTCTGAGTCTTTAAATTTCACTGTTCTTGTAGTTCTGAGCTAGTATATCTGCACTTGATCTGGGCCCAAACATATTTTGATTGTAAATAAAAAGTCTTCTTTTATGAGGATGTTCACTTCGCAGCTTGAGCAGTGTAATTTTTATACAGGTCTCAGCAATCAATAAAAAAGCCACAGGAGGAATGATTTATCTTGTTGGTTACAGAGACTGTCACCGAGAGAAATTGTAAAAGATCAATTTACACAACCTGGTGTGAGAATGTTATTGATATAACACGGTTGATCGGTTTCTGGTTGTCTGTGCGCAGGCACGGCGGAGGGAGCACCACCACCACTCGCCAAGGTCTTAATAGACTCCGCGCTCCATAAAGTGGACACAGAGCCAGTGACGGCGGAGAGGGCCCGGCGGGCGCCCACCGGCATTGGCTGCGCTCCGATTACTTCGTTAAGCAGTGTCATGCTTCTTCTTCTTCTTCTTCTTCTTCTTTTAATTTTTCCCTCCTACTGTGAGAACTGTTCACTTGGAGACTCCCTGTCCTAATTACAAAGAGCCCTTTTAACTGCAGGTCACAGGACTTGGCTCTCTTGACAGGAAATAAGGAAACAAGCTACCTTCCTGGAAAAAAAAATTCAAACTTCTACTGCTCAAATTAGTTAAATGAAGCTTGTCGACGGTTGGGAGTTGACTCTTATGACAGTTGGTTAATCGCAGTTGGTACATTAACT